GGCCCCTCCCCGCTCCTGTCCTTCCTGCACCCCTGGTGTGTCACCACTTACCTTTTGGTCTGGCTTTATATGTTGCTTCATTTGAGATGCTGATCCCCGTCTCTGGTGGGCCACACTGATTTAGGAACCCCGATAACGTGCTTTTATAGAACCCTGCTATTTCCCTTCATAGCGCTTATCACAGCCGTAATTGTATGGTAATGTAGGTCATTATCCGTTTCCCTCCAGTAGGCTGTAATTTCCACAGGGCAGGAATCATGCTGTCCCAGCACAGGCCATGCGGTGGCACTTGGCACGGCATTGAGCTGTGTGTAAGGGAGAAGAGAAATGTTGCAACCCCAATGGGTTCCTTTGTTCCGCCAGCAAGAGGGGTTTGCACTCGGGTATCGTTCAGCTCTTTCAGAGAGTGTTTGTTTTTTTTTTGTTTTTAAATTTTGCCGGAGGGTGCATGCACTTACTGGAGAGAGACAGAGGGGGTAGGGAATGAGCAAATATCCCCCTCCCCCGATAGGGACGGCCACACCACAGTCCTTTCTTCTCCGTTCTCTCAGGATTTGGGGCACACATGCACCTGTGCCCTGGCATGTTTCTCAAGCGGAGACTCAAACCATATAGCTGACCGGGTGGGATCCAGCCGCCTTAATCGCCACGCCATGGGCTGGCCTGAGTGTTATTTTAAAGCAATGAAATGCTTCACATTAAATTCTTATTATTTAGATACCAAGTGAAGCAAAGGCGAGTTAAAGTACACAGAAGCAGGAAGCATAATTTCTTTTACCCAGCAAAAGCTTAGTTTGCCGCACGAGTCAAGTCAGGTCAGCATTTACTGTGTACCTACCAGGCGCCATGACGTGTCAGTGCCAAGGATATGAAGCTCTCAAGAAGTGGGTTCTGACCTTGGAGAGTTGATGTAGCACAAATTGTAGTTCTGTTTTCCAAGTTTAGCTTTTTCTCCTTCCCTCCTCCCTCACTCCAGCCCTCTCTTTCTCTTTCGCTTCTCTGCCTGCCTTCCTTCCATCGGTCCTTAATTCTCTAATCTAAAGACAAGTTTTATTTCCAATAACTTGGAAAATTAAGCCAAGACCAATTTTTATGGCGTGGTTATTGTGTGATTGTTTTTCTCTCTAGAAAATTCAAAGAACCCTTCTGTATTATGTGAGTGTAGTTTCAAAATCTGGGCATTTGCACTCCTTCAAGAAAATCCTGGGTAGAGTCCATGGGCTACAAAGATGTCCTTGAAGCATAAGCTTAGAGTTCGCCCGTTGCCCCCGCTCTGCAGCATCCGTTCTTGTCATATACTTGTATGTGCTGTCATAACTTGTAAGAAACACTGGGGCCAGCAGGCAGTGTGGTGGTTAGGATGCTGGACACTCCCACGTGGCTAACCACGGTTCGAGTCCTGGACCTGGCGGGTAGCTTTCTCACTTTCTGTCTGTGTGTGTGTGTGTCTCTCTCTCTCTGGTCAAGTTAAAATAAATTAATGAATTTTAAAAATTAAATACTTCTTTTAAAAAAAGAAAGAAAGAAAGAAGCATTAAACATGGGGCAGCTGGCTTGTGATACGATCACTACACCTGTCTGCCATGGCCTTGCCGTTTCTGCGGAGTGGTTCTGTTGGTTTTCTGGTTGTTTCCAGAGCTCCCAGCAGCAGCCTCTTGCACACTGCAATGTGCTCCTCGGTCTCTGCTGTGACCAAGCTTTCTGAGAGCTGCTCAAGGAGGATGTAGAATCATTTCTTTTCTCCGCCCTCATCCGATTTTCAACCCCAGAAACTGCTTGGAAACCTTCCCCCCTCCCCCCAAAAGCAGTAGGCCACCTAGTGGAGTCTGTAGGAAGAGTCTGTTCTGAAAAGCAGAATTTGACTCTCCAGCCTCCCATCCTCCGTCCCCCCTCCCCTGAGACGGCTCATTTACGAACTTGAACCTTGGCAAGAAAGTAACTAATGTCGTGTCCCTACCGTGCAGTACGTGGACCAGAGGGAGCGGTCTCTTATTCAGAGGACTTTTTTAGTGACCTATGTCTGTGCATGTTTGAGGAAAGTCTCCCAAAAGCCTTCAGTGAAGAAAAGTGGAATGCAGGACAACCAGAGACCTCAGACCAGCAGCATCAACCTCAGATAATTCCCTCGCTGCCTTGTACCTGCACAGCCTTGCAACCCCAATGGGTTCCTTTGTTCCGCAAGCAAGAGGGGTTTGCACTCGGGTATCGTTCAGCTCTTTCAGAGAGTGTTTGTTTTTTTTTTGTTTTTAAATTTTGCCGGAGGGTGCATGCACTTACTGGAGAGCGACAGAGGGGGTAGGGAATGAGCAAATATCCCCCTCCCCCGATAGGGACGGCCACACCACAGTCCTTTCTTCTCCGTTCTCTCAGGATTTGGGGCACACATGCACCTGTGCCCTGGCATGTTTCTCAAGCGGAGACTCAAACCATATAGCTGACCGGGTGGGATCCAGCCGCCTTAATCGCCACGCCATGGGCTGGCCTGAGTGTTATTTTAAAGCAATGAAATGCTTCACATTAAATTCTTATTATTTAGATACCAAGTGAAGCAAAGGCGAGTTAAAGTACACAGAAGCAGGAAGCATAATTTCTTTTACCCAGCAAAAGCTTAGTTTGCCGCACGAGTCAAGTCAGGTCAGCATTTACTGTGTACCTACCAGGCGCCATGACGTGTCAGTGCCAAGGATATGAAGCTCTCAAGAAGTGGGTTCTGACCTTGGAGAGTTGATGTAGCACAAATTGTAGTTCTGTTTTCCAAGTTTAGCTTTTTCTCCTTCCCTCCTCCCTCACTCCAGCCCTCTCTTTCTCTTTCGCTTCTCTGCCTGCCTTCCTTCCATCGGTCCTTAATTCTCTAATCTAAAGACAAGTTTTATTTCCAATAACTTGGAAAATTAAGCCAAGACCAATTTTTATGGCGTGGTTATTGTGTGATTGTTTTTCTCTCTAGAAAATTCAAAGAACCCTTCTGTATTATGTGAGTGTAGTTTCAAAATCTGGGCATTTGCACTCCTTCAAGAAAATCCTGGGTAGAGTCCATGGGCTACAAAGATGTCCTTGAAGCATAAGCTTAGAGTTCGCCCGTTGCCCCCGCTCTGCAGCATCCGTTCTTGTCATATACTTGTATGTGCTGTCATAACTTGTAAGAAACACTGGGGCCAGCAGGCAGTGTGGTGGTTAGGATGCTGGACACTCCCACGTGGCTAACCACGGTTCGAGTCCTGGACCTGGCGGGGAGCACTCTCACTTTCTGTCTGTGTGTGTGTGTGTCTCTCTCTCTCTGGTCAAGTTAAAATAAATTAATGAATTTTAAAAATTAAATACTTCTTTTAAAAAAAGAAAGAAAGAAAGAAGCATTAAACATGGGGCAGCTGGCTTGTGATACGATCACTACACCTGTCTGCCATGGCCTTGCCGTTTCTGCGGAGTGGTTCTGTTGGTTTTCTGGTTGTTTCCAGAGCTCCCAGCAGCAGCCTCTTGCACACTGCAATGTGCTCCTCGGTCTCTGCTGTGACCAAGCTTTCTGAGAGCTGCTCAAGGAGGATGTAGAATCATTTCTTTTCTCCGCCCTCATCCGATTTTCAACCCCAGAAACTGCTTGGAAACCTTCCCCCCTCCCCCCAAAAGCAGTAGGCCACCTAGTGGAGTCTGTAGGAAGAGTCTGTTCTGAAAAGCAGAATTTGACTCTCCAGCCTCCCATCCTCCGTCCCCCCTCCCCTGAGACGGCTCATTTACGAACTTGAACCTTGGCAAGAAAGTAACTAATGTCGTGTCCCTACCGTGCAGTACGTGGACCAGAGGGAGCGGTCTCTTATTCAGAGGACTTTTTTAGTGACCTATGTCTGTGCATGTTTGAGGAAAGTCTCCCAAAAGCCTTCAGTGAAGAAAAGTGGAATGCAGGACAACCAGAGACCTCAGACCAGCAGCATCAACCTCAGATAATTCCCTCGCTGCCTTGTACCTGCACAGCCGTGTGCTCAGCTCAACAGACTGAAATTGACCTTACTTTGATCCAAATTAAGAACCTTCTTTCCTTCTGGTGCCTCTTAGATTTTCTCCTGTCTTCCAGTAGTAGGGCACTGGATGCACTAATTCATGGAACTAGGTAAAGGAGGACTCTAAAAACAAAATTTGTAAATTTTAAAGGTGGGGAAGTCCTCAGAGACCTGTCCTTTATTTTGTAGGTGAAGGATACCAAACCACTTGTTGGCAATCACAGTCCTCTTCAGTATCTGGTTCTTTTCTCTGTGGTTTCTTTCTTTCTTTTTTGCTATAGGGCGCTTGCACTCACTAGAGATCAGGGGTGCGGTAGGAGGGATACGAGAAATCACCCCCAGTGGGGACAGCCACGCTGCAGTACATTCTCCTCTCGGGATTTTGGCATGTACACGCACATGCCTTGTTTGGTATTTTAAGCCACTGGATCTGGACTTGAACCATGCAATTGGCCCTGTGGGACCCAGTAGCCTTCCCCTCCATGCCACCTGCTGGCCCTCTCTGTGATTCTTACTGAAGAAGAAATCCTGCTACATCTGAACTGCACTTCAGTTTGTACAGTGTGGTCTTCTTGTTCCTTGGTATGGAATTCTGTGTGTGTGTGCGCATGCATGTATTCACTTTCTGAAGTCAGGGCCATGGTGTATCCCATGGCGAGAGTATGTGAGGGCTGGAAAACACCTCTGCATCATTTAGCACTGATCACCCCCCACCCCCTTAGATGGTCCAGACGGGGCAAGGGTGGCTCACCTCGTTTCAGAGTTAGCTGGTCCAGAGTTCAGACTCAAACTCTGTTGTTCAGATGTGCAGCTAGTACACTTTCTGGGTTCAGGGCCTCTACCCTGTACTTGAGAAGCGCACTGCGAGGGAAAAGACGACCTGTAATAAGGTCGAGTTGTCTGTGTACTCGTTAGGGCTTAAGACTGAGGCAGTCTTGCTCTTCCCTCTGCTGTCTCTAGACATGAATAATGCATTTCTGTCTTATTTCTCTTTTTTCCAAACCCTAGCATATAAATAATGACCATATTCACGGAGAGAAGAAGGAGTTTGTGTGCCGGTGGCTTGACTGCTCGCGAGAGCAGAAACCCTTCAAAGCCCAGTACATGTTGGTAGTGCATATGAGAAGACACACGGGCGAGAAGCCCCACAAATGCACTGTGAGTACACAAGTGGGTGACGAAGGGGGTCCCCTTCCCTGAGCCGGTGCCAAGAGTCACTGTGGGTCCTTCATCATACTTAGGGCAGCGTGTTCCGACGGCCTCAGCTCTGAGAAGGCCGAGAGGGTGGAGGAAGAGGGTACAGTGCCATCCGGTTATAAGTGCTTGGGCTTCAAGCTCTCGAGTGGACAGCAGAGTGGTAGGTGGGCAGGTGGCGGCGGCACTGGAAATGAGCCCACAACTGCTGTGCCTGCCCCGAGCTCTACAGCGCACCGCCCTAGAGGACTTGGAAGGCAGAGGGAGATGACAGCTTTCTGCAAAGGAGTTGATGTTGGCTTTTGAAAAGCTCGTACTTCTACCTGGCTTTAAAGTTGCCGTTGCTGTCCTGGTTAGTCCCCAAGGCCTGTACAGCCCACAGGGCGGCTGGGACCCTACGAGGCTCAGCATTCTTTCCGGGAGGTGCCCGCGAGGCACATTGGCACTGACACACTGGTACTTTACATCTTAAAGGCCCTTTACAAACACGATCAAGTTTCGTGTCTTTGTATGGACACAAAGCCATATTAATGAACTTTGTGCTGAATCCGAAATCAGTGGGAATTTGAGGAGATCAATGAGAAGATAATGAAACCCATTGTACACATGAACGATCTATTTTTTTAAAAAAACGACAAGAAAGTGCACCTCGGGACTTTCACTGGCATTGCAAGTGCTTTCTCTTGAACTGCAGTGAGCCACATCTGAATCCCAATAACTTTTTGTTCTTGGGTTTTGAAAAGCAGCTGACCCTTGAAATGTCAGTTTTTCATCAACTCCGCGGCAGTGTCAGGCCTGAGCTGCTGTTGCCATTGTGTGGTGTAATCCAGATTTACCTGTTGTCCCCAGTTTGAAGGTTGCACAAAGGCCTACTCACGACTAGAAAACTTGAAAACGCACTTGAGATCCCACACTGGAGAGAAACCGTACGTCTGTGAGCACGAAGGTTGCAACAAGGCTTTCTCGAACGCCTCTGACCGCGCCAAGCACCAAAACAGAACACATTCCAATGAGGTAAGAGGCCCCCGTAGGCCGGAGCACGTGGTGGAAAACAAAGAGCCCTCACAGGGAACATGCGTGGGAAGGCAGGCATGTTCCATGTTATTTCCCTCTCGAGCATCCCCTGCGTGTGCGGGCTCTGAGTCTGCAGGTGAAGACCTGGACTCCAGAATTGGGGCCCTAAACTGGGCCTCATGGGGACTAATAGGAGGGGACTTCAAAACATTCCTGAAGGGGCTGGTCTATGGTGTAGCAGTTGAACACTGTGCACAAGAAAGTAGATCTCACATGGCTGGCCAGGGTTCAAGTCTTGGCCCCAGTGGTTTACATAGCAGGCCTCGCATGTGTGTGCCCAGGATCCTGAAGGGAGGGGGAGCTGGAAGAGAGGGGCTTACATCATGATCAGACCTACTGAGAGATTCTCTCTCTCTCTCTCTCCCCCTCACCTCTTTTTTTCCCTTCCCCAACCCTGTGTGCAACTTAGTGAAAAAAGTTTTTTTCAATGTTTGTGGAGAAGTGGACTCAAATTATGATCTTATTTTGGTGCACTTTTTTTTTGAGTTCCATACATAGTTTTGTCATAATATGAATGTTCCATCAGCTTTTAGAAGACCCCTTGTGCAGGCGGAGAGGGAAATGGGTAAAACCCGGGTGATCTTGGTCTCATGTTGTTCTGACCTGCCACCTACTGGTCAGACAGGAGGAACACCCGCCTTGGCATTGGATCTGCCTTCTCTACCCGGAAAGGAATCACACGAATCCAAGCAGAGGCCCGCTCTGTGGACTCAGTGTCAGCAGGCTGACAGGTTGCTCTTAGGACAGTCACTGCCGTTGGCCTTCAGACGCACGCTTTCAGAACAGACATCTGTAGGGTAACTAACCTTGGCTAAATATGATTTCCAGACGTTCTGAATTCTAGAGGCTCTAAGAAGATAATTCTCTGAAACCTGGGATGGCCTCTAGTCAGTTATTTAAGATAATATGTTAGTAAAGCCCATGGGAGGGAGTGGTCCCTGTTGTGTTGCTGTTGTTTCTAGGTAGTTACCCTCCCGAAATTGCAAAGAGACAAAAGAATGAACATTACTCCACATTCATTTTGCCTATATTTGAATGCTTATCAGCCTACAGCTCTCCAACTTCTCGGAGAGATAGCTCAAATTCTGGCTCCTCTTTGAAGCCTTCTGTTAGACAAACCAAGACTAATAAACAAGCTCCCCGCATTTTGAGCAGATAGAGGGCAGCAGCTAGCCAAAATTTGTTAACGTAAGGCATAGTTCAGTGCCCCTCCCCCCCAAGTGCATCATTGCTTTGCTTGAAAGGTATTAGGAAAGGAGCATTTTGTTCCTTTGAGGCCTTGGAGTCTCGGCTGTTACTAGACCTTCCCCAGATGCAAGTCAAGCCCACTCACGATTTTCCAGCTAGAACGTTGGAGTAAGAGAACCTGATAGAAACACAGTGAGCCATTCTGCGTCTGGCCTGGCCTTGTGGCAGTGAAGACAGCCCTCACCGAGTTTCCTTTCGGTTGAACCGACAGAGCAAGAATGTCTCCATCAAAAGTACTAGCGTTTTCTAAAAAGTACGTTCATTCAAGCTCACGTCGGCAATTTGTATATGCCAACTCTTGTTAAAAGATCCTAGTGGAATACAAAACTCAAGCCATTCAGAATCTCTTATTGGCTAGTTGTTGAAGACATTTTTTTATGTCAAAATACTTTTAAGTCCAGCCATGGTGGCCTGGGCTACTAAGATGCTGCACTCCGTAGTTTAAGACTATATAAGAGGCCAGGTGTGATTCCCTGTCCAGTCTGAAAAGCTCATCTGAATAGCATTCACCTGCGGTCCCAGTTGGGAGGCTGAGGCTGAAGGATTGTGACTTGGGAAGAAATGTGTCTTAGAAATGGGGGGAAAAAATTACTGGATGCAATAGCTGTGATGTAATCTGTCATATTTGTTTAGTACAGAATTTTAGGGAGTCTAGAACAGGCAAATCCAGAGAGACAGAAAATAGATTAGTGGTTTCCAGAAACTGGGAGGAGAAAGAATAGGGGGAACTGCTAATGGGTACAAGGTTTCTTTTCAGGGCGGTGAAAACATTTTAGAATTAGGTAGTGGAGATGATTGTACAACATCAAGAACTTACTAAATACTGCTGAATTGTGCAACTATAAAGGGTTATTTTTGTGGCATGTAAATTACATCTCAGTTTAACCATGTTTAGGATGTTTGATTAACTGAACTTGGAATTTAATTAATACATCTAACATATTATTTATATTTAGGTATGATATTTTTTAAAGAATAGATTTCTTAAAGAATTATTTATTTATTATCACTATTTTTCAATTTTGACCAGGAACTCGACCTGTGGCCAGCCACATGCTAGTCCAACATCTTTAACCACCATGCCACCTGCCAGTCCCTGGACTTGAACCATCATTCAGTCATGTGGGAATCCAGTGCTTTAACCACCAGGCCACCTGCTGGTCCCCAATTTAGAGGGGTTTTAATCCCTATATATTTTTTCTTCTGTTATTGCCACAGGGCAAGTGTGCCGCCAGAGGGTGTGGACGTGTATGAGAGAGAGAGAGAGAGAGAAGAACTTTTCTAAGGGCTTTCTTTTTTCCTCCATTTCCCCCTCCCATGAGGATCCAGAGCAGGTCTGCACTTACGGCTGTCGTGTTTTTCAAAGGCTCTGAGGGAACGATTGGAATCGTGGTCAGCTGTGCGGGGTCTCGCTCCCAGTGCACAGGACTCAACTGCTGTATTGCAGGGCCAGCCCCATCCCGGAAGACTACATCGGTTCTCTCTCCTGTTATGGTGGAGACATTGAGGCCGTAGATCTGCTCAGATGAGCAGTACTCACATACGAGGATATCGAGCTTTTTCTCTTTTTATCGACTTAAAAGATGTGCAGCTGTTTCATTTAAGGGTGTTATAGCTGGGTTTGGGTGCTGTCGGTCAGAAGTGCTGTGCTGTTCGAGTTGAGTGTCTGTTAGGAGTTTCACAGATAATTCAGGTCAATAATCTCTTTCACCAAGGCTAAGAACATGCTTACATTCTTGGGGGCTGGCAGGTGGTGTGGTGGTTAAAGGCCACATATTCCCACGTGGCCAACCATGGTTTGAGTCCCAGACCTGGCAGCTTCCTTTTTCCCTTTCCCTTTCCCTCTCTCTTTCTGTCTCTGTCTGGTCAAATTAAAAAAATACTAATAACAAATGGAATTAAATACTTTTTAAAAAAGAATTAACTTACATTATTAACCTTGATATTAAATATATAATTACAGTTTTATTCACAAACATGTAAATCCCTCTTCTCGATTCTAGACACAGGACTTTGGCCTTGTATATGTATGTTGAACAATTTCAAATACTCAAATTCTGTCTGGAACCTGGAAATCCAGACCTGTGTGATGAGATCTAGACAGATGGAGGCGTTGGCTTTTCTCATTTCTCTCTTACTTGCACCTTCGTCTATCAGTAAATGAATATGGATGGCTAGTTATGTGCCCACCCCTCTGCTCTCCTAGGTGTGGCACAGCATACCATGGATCAGGCCAAGGGAGTAACTCCCATTCAGGGAAGCCACCCACATGTCTCTGTCTCCCGGGGTTCCTGCCCACGTAGTGCCACAGGATCATAGCAGTGGTCTTGGACAGGACTCCCTCCTCCAGAGCACACAGCTCATGTTCTTCCCGAAGCTCCCACCAAACACGGTCCCTGAGCTCTGATGTACTTGGATCACCCCCGCACCCCAATCTGCAGTGGCCCCCTTTCTGTATCCTGTACCGGTGCCTATTCTCACCTGGCCCGTGCCTGTCCTTCCAGTCCTGACCTCTCACTGTCATGACAATGGATGGAACCTTCTAGAAGCCTGTGCTGTGGACTCTGGTGCCAACATGCACAAAGTGGTCTCACCTCTGAACCTTTGGGCATCCTCTTGTCCCCGTCTTTATCTCCCAGAATCTTACCCTCCTTTCAAGACCAAACTATAATGTCCCCTCCTGATAAAAGTTCCATTTCCAAATGCCTCCTGTGTGCTGGGCCTTGCCATAAGCACTTTTCGAACACATCCTACAGTTCCATGAGTTGGGCATTATACCCCGATATAGAAATCTAACATCTGCTTTTCCCCACGGTCATCCCAATTGAGAAAAGACTCCTCCTCTGTCCAAATCCTTACAGAGCAGTCATGCTTTATAATGTAGAAAACTATGTGATACCTTATTTTTCCCATCAGCTTTTGTATTCCTCGGGGTTCCATCTTGTGTACAACTTTATGCTCACTTAGAAAAGGGATCATTAAAATACATTTATTGAATAGTTGTATTTGGAGAAATTCTATGGAGTGAGTAGAAAAAGTACCAGCTTCTTTCACAAAGAACCTGCCTGTCAATGTGATGATTCAAGACGGGAGCAACCATGCCCGAAGTTGCTATCTAGGCCATGCAGAGTGGGCAACTCAGTGAGGGTGCCCTGTCCGTTAGCCTACAGTTATGTTTCATTTCAGCCATTGTTCATAATGAAATCTCAGGCTAAGCTATGTGGGTGATTAAAGTACAGATTTCCTGAACCTGACTGTCCTCGTGAATTGCTGTGGTAGGGACACACAGGGCATACGGGCACACGTGTACTTGTGTGTGCTGTTCCTAGAATTGCAGGGAGTCATGGACATGTGTGCACTTGGGACACGTTAGCTATATGCTCTGGTCTAGGCTCACCCATAACGGGCACATGCACATAGATAGTAAGAATAGCTCTGCAGACACTGTGGCCTAGCTAGTGTCCCCTCTGCCCTCTTCATCCCCACAGCTTCTCCACGCATCCCCGTGCACCTCAGGGAGAGCAAGCCTGCCGCAGCAGTGCAGTGCTGTGAGCAAGCCCAGGGCCAGTGTCAGACACCGGAGGGTAATAGTGCTCATTGAAAGGGCCATTCATCTGTCCCTAATGCATAGAAGTCACTGGCTCATTTCTATATCTCAGTACGTATATATATGCAGCAAATCGTACGGCTCCTGAATGGATATAATTTGTAGTTAATGGGAATCAATTCTACCCCAAGGAATCTCAGATTTGAAAGGGAAGCCTCTCAGATAATTCTCGGAATCTTTGCTTCCCTGCATTAGGACCTTTCAGCATTTTAGGGAGCTCTCAGTCTGTTCTTGGGCTTTTAGTGAAAAAGCATCTTTCAGACACACAGTCTGTCAGATGGCATCTTTTAAATATAATGGGTACATTATATTAATCACACTTGCTATGATGATGGCTCACCTAATAGCACATCTTCTGGGATACATAGATGTAAGTATCCTTTCTGGTACAAGTGTCCATGAATATATTAATATTTCAAGCCAACTGAACAGAATCACAGGTGATCTCGGTCATGAGTGAAGGCCAGCAGTTCTGTGATTTGAGTAAATTTTCAGCTATAAACATTCATAAAATTTCTCATCACTGTATCCATAGGCTTCATTATGGACCCACACAGAAAATGGTATTACTGAGAATTAATGGATAGGCCTCGGTCCCGAGAGCAGTGCATAGCCCGGGGTTCCTGGTCCTCAGCATCCCGTCCTTTAGCACTGTGCAGTTGATAAGCACGCATGGCAGTCTGTCCTGGGTAAAGGGCCTTGAAGATCATGAGGGCTCTGAGTCCTGGCAGCACCCCCACCAGCGCCCCAGCTGAGGAACATGGAGTATGGGAGAGGATATCAGCCATTTTTCTTTTATACCTATGTGTAAATAGCAATTTCCCAAGGGGAGAGAGTGGTATTAGCTCTCAGAACAAGGACAGCCATAAGAAACGTCTTCACACACCCTCCTCTGAGGGGCCTGCAGCATTCTTTTGGTTAGATGACAGGTTTCCCGTCTGCCTTCCCACGCCACGCCATCATGGTTGTTGTCTCAGACAGCTACTGAGTGCCTGTTCTGGCTGCGTAATACTTCTTCCTACCCATAGTGTAAATGCTTCCAAGAACATAGGCAATTTATACACCCTTAGCTCTCTCTCTTTTTTTTTTTTCTTCTTTTTTTTTTTTTTGGAGAGGTTTTTGCTATAGGGCACGTGTGCTCACCAGAAAGACAGAGACAGAGAGACACAAAGCCAGAAATCACCCCCCAGGGGGCATGGCCATGTCGCAATCCCTTCCTCCATTCTCCTCTCCGGATCTTGGGCAAGTATGCACATGTGCCTGGTGTAAGTTTAAGCCACCAGGTCTGGGACTCGAACCGTGGTCGACTACATGGGAGTCCAACGACATAACCATTACACCATCTGCTGGTCCCTCATCTTTAGCTCTCCTTAAGCAGTCTCTGAAATAATCTATTAATGCTCAAGTTCATGGGTGATGAACGATGTTCTTATGGCCTTACTGAACAGGTAATGTGACTACCTCGGAGCTCAGTGAAACTGGAAAGAATTCAAAACATAGGGTGCCACCACTCCAGCTGGGGCTGGGCCATAATCACTTTGCTAACAATCTGTTGTCTTGTTTTTGGGCATTTGGCAGAAACCCTATGTGTGTAAAATCCCAGGCTGCACTAAGCGCTACACAGACCCAAGCTCCCTCCGGAAACACGTGAAGACGGTGCATGGCCCAGAGGCTCATGTCACTAAGAAGCAGCGTGGGGACATACACCCTCGGCCCCCACCCCCACGAGATTCCGGCAGCCATTCACAGTCCAGGTCCCCCGGACGGCCGACCCAGGGAGCCCTCAGTGAACAGAAGGACCTCAGCAATACTACCTCAAAGCGGGAAGAATGCCTCCAGGTGAAAACGGTCAAGGCAGAGAAGCCCATGGTATGTCATTCACTCTCCTTCTGGCCTTCCCAGAGCCAGCCAGGACCATTTAGAAGAGCCAGGCTGGACCATCAGAGGGACCAGCCTGGACTGCTCACTCAAAGTGGGTCCCCATGGAGGAACTCGGCTCAGGATGGAATTTCCAGATTTCCTATCTGATTTCTGGAGTTAATCTGGAATTGTAGCTCTGTGGTGGGAAGAAAGGCACACTGCCTATCACTCCAGCACATCCCTAATAGAGAAAGCCATGCCTTGAGTGACTTCCTAAGCACGTTTCCTGTCCTTTTTCTGTTCTGGTGACCACAGAATAAATACACAGTCTATATCCTTCAGAGATTTACAGACCTGTGGGCTAGACTGAAAAACAGATACCACTTAATATTGGGTCATCAGAAAGGACTTGAACACCAGTCTGTGTAAAGAGCATTCAAGAGCGAAAGTAACGCCCAGTGCACTCTGAGGCCAGAGGTTTAGAGGGGATCCAAGTCAGCAAACCCAGGGTAGGAGGGCCAGGTGATGAGGCAGAACCCTGGGGTGTGTAGGAGTAAAAGGACGACTACTTCCTGTTGGGGTAAATGAGTGGTCAATCAGAAATACAGGGGCAGAGGTGAGGGTCGAAGTGGCATGTTTTGCTGGTTATAGGAAATGGAGCCGCAGGACTGATTTTCTAGAAACAAGCCTGGTTTTGGTGCAGAGATGGATAAACTGACACCCCTTCTACAGCTGTGCCTGAGCAAAGGAGGGTGAGAACTAGGGGAGGGATTCATAAGAGTTTTGCAGCAAACATCCTTATGGTGACTCAGAACACGTGGCTTATGCTGCTTTTTCAGCATCTTTCAAACTGTAGTGAGCGATTTCAGTTCATGGATGTGCTTAAATAAAACACCTAAAAATTACAAAAGGACAGCAAGAAAAATGACGAGAGTAGATATAATAGAAGACTCGGGACATTTACATTTGGCCCTGCGTACTCTGGATTTTCATTCCTGAGACAACCTCAAAACCCAGGTCTCTCGTCCTTTCAATGTATGTCCCTAACCCAAAAGAAATTGTCACCTACTCCCCAAACACACATTGTTTAAAAAGAAAATTGTGGACAGGGCGAGTTCCAGTCTGGCACGCTCTGACCTGTGGAGGTGTACCAGAGAGCAGCTGCCTGCTGAGACTTCCAGACACACGGAAATGACCGGGCGGGCAGATTTACTCTGTGTAAGGAAGCGTGTTCTTAAAATGGGAGGAGCCCGATAGTTGGATAGGCATGCTTTGAGTTCAGAAGTACCGTCAGTGTATGTAGATGAGAAATAACACGCATACAATTCCAGCCTTGGCAGCCTAGGAAGCAGCTTTGTAATGACTTATGAAACTTGTCTTTGAACTTTTAGGTATCTTAGAAAGTGACACTAGCCAAAAATAATGCCAATAGGCTATCCAGATTTACCGTAATTTCTCAGTGGGTAGTTGCATGAGGTTTAAAAAAAGCACTTTAATAAAATGTTTATAATGTCTTATGATTGACCACTGTATTTTAAAATTAATCACTTCATAAACTGTTTTATATACTTTTGTGGGGAGCATATGTCTCTTTCCTCATGTAATAATAACAATATTCATGCAGAACATTCATTTACTCTCATGTTTAGTAAAATGAGGAAAGTGAGTTTAGTCTCCTGGATTATGTCATGAAACATAATGGTTTTTATTCTTGAGACAAGTTAAAAACCCTGGGTCTCACGTTCTTTTTGAAGTTTGGCCCCAGCTCAATAGAAATCTAGAACCAAACACCTGTTGTTTGAAAAGAAAAATAGTAGAAATAAAAATTTACAGTGATTTGGTTCAGGGACATTGAGATACCTGAATGTGTGCAATATTCTGATAAAGTAAGTGAATTCTCGAGATAGAGGACTGGAAGAGGTCATAGAGATCTAGATTAGGCTCTCTGTTTTACGGGTGAGGAAACCGAGGCTCAGTTCCATAAAGAAGTGTTATATGTGTATATGTACATAAACATTTAGATATATGTAGACATTTTCATAGACGTTGCAAATGCACGTGAGACTTACATGTCTAGTATTCTTTCTTTAAAGACATGTCTTTGATTTGATCATCATGCTATGAATTAAATTCTTTCTTCTTTTTTCTTATTAATGCAACATCTCTTCTGTCTAATGCTCCTAAATGTCTTGTTCTCACTTCCTAAGGACAGTGGGTAATAAGGTGAGGGAATTTTGGCTTCTCTGTTCATTTTCTTTTATTTGCAATTTAACATTCAACTTCTTTTTATTTCTTGTTTTGTTTCTGTTTTTGTGGCTTCGTGGTATCTTTGCTGTTGAACATTACTCAGATACGTTCGACTACAGAAGCAATGTGTTTTGAACGTTCAGCATGTGGAAAAACGTGGCGTTAGATAGTGAAACTCATTGTTCTGTTTGTCTGGGTTTTCATAAGAAATCACTGGGGCCGACCAAGCAGATGTTTTCAAAGACGGTTTACGTACTGTGCTGACTCGTGTAAGTTCTGTGCTAAACCTGCACCACCTGCTTTAAGGAAGATCCGGAGACATGTTTTCCTAGCAGTGTCACCTCTGCCTAAGGACCTGAGCTCCTTGAAGCAGTTTTCCGATTCTGAGTGCACATGGGCCTTCTCACGTGCTCATTGCAAGTGTGCTGCACGTGTGTGTGTGAATGCACACAGATCAAACTCTCACACTCCCTGTTTGGCAGTCCAAGACTCAAACGCATCTAGCACTCTGGGAACTTGCAGCACCTCAGGAAGGAGCAGGCGGTCTGGCCCTCCAAGATTCTGTTAAGGCAAAAAATTAAGCAGGACTTGACGTCCTCGTGATCACGTTGGTTTGTCTTACCTTGCTCTGCTTGGTTGCCCAGGACAAAGTTGGTGTGTCATGTGGCACTCACTTAGAAAGTGTTCATTTGCTTGGGTGTGTGTACTGTGGTGGCCGAAAAGTGTAACTGGTTCCGCTGAGAAGACCTGTCTCTAAAAGCCCGACTGCTGCGCATTCCACCTGAGAGCGGAGTTAGCAGAGATCCCTCTCCCTAGAGAGCTTTCCGTTGGGCTGTTGTCTATGGCTCCAGATTTTATACTAACGCTGGGCAGTAGCCAGTCTGAGGATCCAGGCAAGTCACACCGTTAACTTGCATCATTGGGCAGTTGCTAGACGTCTCCAGACATCACTTTTCTTATCCTTACAGAAAGGGATAGACTGTTGACCCACGCGGCACCACTGCCATTTAGGACAGTTCCATGCTGCATGGACTGTCCTGTTCGTTGGAGCTGTTTTAGGTTGTGCCCCCCAGACACTTGGACTGCAGAGGGGTCCATCCCCTATTTCTAGGAGCCATGGGGTAGGGGACGAGGGAGGAGGTACACTTCCTGATTGAGGACCAATGGGCTAGATTAAGTTCTCGTTAGTTGTAGGATTTCCTCAGCGTTCACTTGGCTGGGGTTAGGAAATCACTTTAATTCTCCTTGAGAAACACCGGGGGTGGGGGGGGCGCACTAAGGACAATGGAGAAGACATCCCAGAGACTCAGGTGGCTGTGATTGTAGCCTTGCGTCCTCTCTGGGAATAGCAGCAGCTCTGTGGTTGAAGTCCACACCCTGGTTGAGACTCTAAAAGAACAAGAAAATGTCCCAAAGAGCCTGGGTGATCTTGCTGGAGCAGCGTGTAGGGCCTCCTGCTGGAGCATATCTGACATGCTCACAGTCAGCTGAGCAGACAACCCAAAGACCAGAGCCATTGGATAATGACAATTGTGCTCTCCTTCTGAGCCACTTAGTGTTACCTGGGCCTTCTTATATTGTGAGCTCTCTGGGCTTCACACCTCATTCCCAGGAATCCCCAGTGTAAATTGCCCCATTTTATAGATAAGAAAACTGAGATTTAGAGTGGCCAAGTAATTTGCCCATAAAACAGTCGTGGAGTTGGGACTGAACCTAGGAAGTTTGTGTGCAGAGGTGGCGTTTGGGCAGGACTCCATGGCTGGTGACATGCTGGGCACACTCCATCAGGCATTCTCGGCTGTCCCTTGCCTTCCTCTGTGATGGTTCATCCGTCATTCCGGCCAAGAGAGGCCACCTCCATTCACCAGGACATACTTGTTCTCCTCATTCGGTTGAAGGTCTCGATGTGCACGAGCTCTCGCTGTTGGCTCCCTACCCTTTCCCATCCATGGTGATGTTTCTTTCCTTTCCTCTTGACCCCCCACAGACATCTCAGCCAAGCCCTGGTGGTCAGTCTTCATGCAGCAGCCAACAGTCCCCCATCAGCAACTATTCCAACAGTGGGCTCGAGCTTCCTCTGACCGATGGAGGTAGTGTGGGCGACCTCAATGCCATCGATGAAACCCCAATCATGGACTCGACCATTTCCACGGCCACCACGGCCCTCGCTTTGCAAGCCAGGAGAAACCCGGCAGGGACCAAATGGATGGAGCATGTGAAACTAGAACGGCTAAAGCAAGTGAATGGCGCACTCCCACGGCTGAGCCCCATTCTGCCCCCCAAGGCCCCTGCGGTCTCTCCTCTAATAGGAAATGGTGAGTCGCACATCCGGTGATGCATCTGCTCCTGCAGATGTGGCCGGAGCACCACGAGAGGGACCGGGCCTGGGTTTTACGTTTGCTGGCTTCTACACCCGTCCTATAAGTCATGCTGTTGAATCCATCTGAGTTGCCTTTTTGGAGGGTTCGTATATTTTTTTAAGAAGTTTTTGCCTTAAGGTGCCGTGTGCTCACCGCAGAGAGAGAGACAGGGAGAGGGAAAATGAGAAATCACCCGCACTGCCCACTACCCCCCCCCCCCCCCCCCCCGAGGGGATGGCCACACTGCAATCCATTCTCCTCCAAGGATGTTAAGACATGCACACACATGTGCCTGGCACGATTTCCAAACTGCTGGGTCCAGGACTTGAACCATTGTCAGCCATATGGGAGTCCAGCGATATAACCACTGTGTCATCTGCTGGCCCAGGAGGTTCACATTTTAAAAACAGGTAGTAACAGGGTAAGGAAACAGAAAGGAAGGAAGGCCGTGTATAACTCGTATTCTGATGGTGAAGCCTAGCTATTAGACCAGGTAGGGTAAGACAGTCCCAGCAGAGAAGCATCTGGTTACCGCTCACCTGGTGTCAAAGTTCTTTTTTTTTTTATTTTTGAGAGTACTGGGGCTAGGATTTGAACCGTGATCAACTATGTGGGAGTCCAACAAAGTAACCCTTATGCCATCTGCTGGTCCATGTGTTCAAGTTTGAAAAGCAAGAAACTGACAGCCAGCCACTTGTGATAATGGCCGCCCGGGTCAAGGGGAGGCACACCTTCCCATCGTCAGCTCGTCAGACTGTGCTTTGGCTCACCCCAAATTCCTGGACCATACCCAGGGGTGAGCTTCTCCATCCACAGCTCGGGTCTGTCCCCTGGTCTAGGATGTAGAGTAGACAGGCAGCCTTGACAGTGGCTGTGACATTCCTGGCAAACCTTTGCCTGGGGACTTGCAAGGAGTCGGAGCAGTGTCACACCCCGGGTTCCTTTTTGTCCTGAACT